CCCTTTGCTGTCGCAATACGTGATTATCCCTAACCATTTGTTGTTACACGTGAAGGTTAAGAAAACATCGAGATACCCATAAGTTTTAACTAATGTCATTGCATCAATGTAATTTTCCCTTTTCCATTTATCACCACCTGTGAATGAAGAAGGCATTATAACCCTCCCAACATCTGAAGTATCTTGATTTCCTTTTGAAAGTGACTTTTTCATGTTTTCATATGTTTCACAGCGCAAATTTCTTTGATTTTTCTTGATCCAACATATTTTTCCTGATTCAACTGCACTGTATCCATCTACTAAAAATTGTTGGAAAAGTCTTCAAGCATATAACAACATTGAACCATCCTGGTTTCTATCTTGTATGCGGAATGCAAACCATTCTCGGAGACTCATCCATTCTCGTGGTCCTTTATACTCTTCTTCTGCACCATCAATATCATCAATTTCATCATCATCATCACCTTCTGAATCTTCCATATCTCCAAGTTTTATGTTTATTCTGAAACCATCTTCACCATATGGAAAAATCAATGGATATTGAAGTGATACATATAAAGGATGTAGCTCATTGATAGGCTGCAATTCTCCAGACTTATACTGAATAATGATATCTCATGTTTCAGATTTGTTTCCTTCATTGCCAGGTAGTATAGCTACAACTTCATCGACGAATGGTAGATTATGTGTTCTACCATCCGTATCTCTAGTTGAAATTAGTTTGAGTCTGATTTCAACTGAAGAATCTACCTAAAGGGTGTCACGCACCTTCCTATAGTTTTTAACCAACACATTGTGTTCATGCATTGAAGCCTGTATGTCACTAACAATCTATGCATCAAGTTGTTTAGCTCGTTTTTTACTCTGCTACGAACTGCAATTATATTTGATCAGTAGTGTGTAAAAATTATGTCTATAGTAATACTGTGAAACATAAACTAAGGATTTGAACTGTAATAAAAACTGTTAAACATACCTGAAAGCTCCGATTCTGTTACTCATTTCATTTTTAGTACCATAAATGTACAGCTGGGAAACTTTTGGTCTCAAATCATCTTCTGGCAGTAGACTGCCTATTAGATGGCTATTATGTCCTTGCATTTTAAATACATAGGGTGCACGACCATCATTAATTGAGTTTACAATGTTACCATCCATAGATGTAAAGGCGAACATATTATTATATGCTCGGATGCTCTCCAAAAAATGTTTACTCTTTGTATTATTTGACATGAACAACTCCTTAAGCTGAGTAGGGGGTTCTTGCAATAGGGGTAGGTGTATTTTCCCTTGCATGCAACAAATTGAGAATTTAGGCTGTAACGGTTTTCACTGTTTGTTGACCCTTTCTTCATACCACAAAATTCACATACATATATTGGATCCCAAATCATGATATTCTACAACATTTAACAAATATATTAATAATATATGTGATAGTATCCTGGAAAACCCTATAAATTAATGTGTTTAACTGAGATGTCGTTAAACAAAGATAATACCTGTGTTTATGTATGATAAGTTCTTGTGATTAATTTTACATTTTCCAAGATGCAATGTATTTTTCCTCCTTGTGGAAACGCTATTTCGGGTAGCTTGTTGATTTGCATTCAAGATGACATCAGTAGTGACTCCTGCATATTCAGTATTTTCGAAACAACAAAATTAAAGGTATGTCATCATTATTAACTATATAATTACATTACCCATATAATTTCTTTTTTAAACATACCCGATGAATTTGTTTCATTCATACAATTTGTTGTTTGCAATTCAGTCATCTGAAAAATGCGCTGAGTACTCTGTCTACAATCTGAATGGACTTGTGAAGTATCATTGACTGATAAATTGTTAGTTATCTGAGATGAATCACATATAATAACACCACCCATAATAATAACAGATTTCTTTTCTTCAATGGTTTTGCCTCTCTTCTTGTCCATTATTTGCTTCCTGTTGGATATGGACTTGTTAACAGTTCCTAACCAATCATGAACAGAGATGACTGAATATATGCAAATAATTTAGGAAAAAGCGTAAAATATATGTACGGAAATTATATGAAAGTGACAATTATGTAATCATTAAAATGGATACATATGAAAACACAGCATCTGATACAACACAGTTTGATGGTGTTGTCGAACCCTAAACAGCAGCTGACTGACGTTTCAACTTCTTATTTGTTTTGATCTGGTATAATTTGTTTTTTCTTAATATTCTTGAATGTTTAGCACTGATACGGTCCACTTTAGGTATATATACAGAATGCATAGAAAGTTGTACCATATCTGAATGCATGTCTCCATCTAACTGACCTTCCAAAAACTGTGTCATAGTAAATCTTGCATTCTTAGCAGCCACAGCATCATTGATTTGAACCGTAGGAATCACCACAGTTTGCTTAATTCTTCTGCGTGACTGAAGCGACAATCTTTTTGCTTTTAGTAAATCTTTCCTGAACAATCTTGCTTCTTTTTTAGAAGTATTAACCATTATGATATTTCCTGAAAGGTTGGCGAGAAGTACATCACAATACTTTTTGATTCAAAACATAATAGTATAATGATTGTGAATTTACTTGTGAAGTATTATCCTAAGTTTTGATAGAATTGGATCTAAATATGGCTAAAATTCTTGTGCTTATCAAATATTTATTATTAACTATAATATTGTCTTCCTAAAAAAGAGGGATATGATATACTTGTACAATATTATGGCATATCAAGATTTTTTTTATTTTATATCCAAAATAATTTCCTACTGTACATCTGTATTCTTTTTTGAAAATACTTTGATAATTTTGGGGTACTAATTTACTTAATGGCATAATTTATTTTTCTAATTTGATTGTTCTTACGCTTTATTTCATAGCCCATTTTTTTTTAACATTCATGGTAATGCATTAACTAAAATACGTTGTTATAGTATATAAAATAAATTATACACGTACTAAAAAAAGTCATAAAAAAAAGATAATAACAATATTTAAATTATTAAGTTTGATCTTTATCATTCGATAATAAAAAATATGAAAAACTTGAAAATTGCATTGTTTTCATCAGAATAAAATAAAAAACACACCAAATAGTGTCTTCTACAGGACTTCTATAATCAGATACTCTTTATTACATGCCTTGCGAGCATCTATACGGAACCCTAAAGTTATACCTAAAGGTATTTTCTTCAAATCCATCATGTACTTTATATCACCTTCAATAACAAACCAATGTGGATTGTCATTAGTCACAATTTGATGCATGTGAATTACTGGAACTCTATAATAGTATAAAATAGTATTTGTGTAGTCATCTAACTTCAATCGTCGTACTATATGCCAGGGTATTTCCTGCAATATCATCAAAAAACTTGTTTATAATTGAATAATTAATTTGAATTTGACTGGTAGTAAATTTCTATCAAACACATGTTATTACCAATCTACTATGTTGGATTACAGTTTCAGTCATGACTGCAGAAAATGTGTCCTGATCACCAGCCCTACATAAAAAATCTACTGTGTCAACTTAACCTGAATATAAATTAATATTAGTATTAAAATATGTATTATGATAATAATGTTGGTTGAATTCAGTGAATTAAATATAAAAAAACAGTAAGTAGAAACCTTTAGATGTATCCGAATCAGCAATATCTAGGTTGCAGCAGTAACCTTCATTGTTGAAAAGCCTTAAATGGAAATACGTATTTCCAGTGTAAATAACAATTACATTCACACATTTTATTCTGTTGTAATAATAGTCATGAAAATCCTCCCACATCTGGCCTTCAAAACCCACTGGTTCATTATTTTCCTTCATGATCATGAACTCCCATTGATTGCGCTTCAAATCAACACACTTTGCTGTAGTTTGATTTAAAGGCCAATCAATACCAGAAAAGTACTATTTTTGAATGACCTGAAACTCAAGCCCAGTGATTAGTCCATATATATGTATTATAAAATAGTTCTTTAGTGTAAAGGACTAAGATAAATTAATAAACAAAGGAAGTGTAAAAGGCAATTATACTTGGAACTTACAGCTTGTTTGGATGTACTATCATATAATCTCAACAAATAACGGTTACCAGTTCTTGCATTCATATATGGGTGAATCCTTTCACATCCATCATAATTAAAATGAAATAACTATATCACATTCAAGGATCTGTGATAAACAACATTAATTTGGATCTGGAAGATACACCAAACTCCTGGAAAAAGGCTTCCAGACCATATCCATATAACTGACATCTCCTCTTCTTAATGATTTGTATATTTTCATAAAAATATCGGTTTCCTTGGAAATCAATCTTGATCTGTTTTCCAACATGTCTCAGAATTGAAGTTAAGTTACTGCTAAGAATCTAATAATTTACATAAAACTGGTTGTTAGTAAGAAATTGATATAATCGATCATAATACAATTAAAAAATTAGAAAAGACTTACCAATCCTTTCCTGCGAATGTTTATTGGAACACTAATCAATTGATCATAAGCCTCTTCCATTGCTTACTTCTATCTCCAATGCAGTCTGTATAGTGATCTCAGAGTCTATGTGCAATATAAATATAAAAAGGGCTTATGGAGTCTAGTTTTTTAGTTGTGGAAATTTGATCTTTAATGATGATTTGACGAGAAAAGCATAGATATATACTATCTCCTCTTTATGACACTTAAAGATAACCCTTAAAAAAAGGAGATTTAAAAGATCAGAACAGTTTTTTTTTAAAAAAAAAAAAAGAAAAAGAATCAGAACAGTTGTAGCATCATTTTAAATCCACTTAAAAATAGGAGTGCAATGTATCTCCACTTTTTTAGGACCTGGAAAAATAGTGTTTTTTTTCTTTTAACTCTCTAAGTAAAACAAAATTAAAATACTTTTACTGAAACAGTAATTGATGTCTGATGATTCAACATTAAATTGAAAATTATTTCTGTTTCACAAAAAGTAAAAGCAAATTGCCAATGCAGATACATCCATTTTCGCCTAACAAATTACTCATTGCATAAAGTAAATTGGAAATCAACATCATTTTTCCTTGGTTGGACACTATTCCTGTCCAAATGGAATTCACATTGACTTCCACTTGCAATAGAATTCTCATTGAGCAATTGCATCCACTCCTCCAAAATTTTCAATTGACAAACCCTCTTTCCAATGTACTTTTGATCATTTGATTTTTGGAACTTCATTGTGTAGGGTCCTGCAGTAGTATGTATAATTGCTGTCCTTTTGAAGACAATTTTCTTGTGACGTCTCTAAAAATGTGTAGGAACAGTCTGGTAAAAGAAATAACATGTAATTTCAGAAACCTTCATGTCTGTAATATATAGGAAAATGTAACTTTAAAAACACTGATAATATAACTCACAATTGCTCTTTTTCTGCAATAGTTATCACCAATCTCTATCTTAAAATGGTCTTCTTCTATGATTGTTGTAGGACCCTCAATCTCCACTCCATTAGCTTTGAAAAAGTGCATTGTAAAACGCATATTCCCATCATATTTAAGAACTGTGAATTCACATTCTGGTAATTTGTCATGATGGTCTTCTAACAATTTCTTCCACTCCGTACCAGTAAGTACAATTCTGTTGTCATCATCTCCTTCCAACATAATCACCATAATCAATTGACCAGTATGAAGAATCTTCATTGTTCACAACATGGTCTTCCATCAATAAGTTACTGTAGAATTCTGGTATGAACTGTATCAAATTTCTATTTGTATAAAAATAACCATTGTTAATTTTTAATACAAAATAATACGTATTCAATTAATGTAAAATCGTAAATTGAAGAAAAATCATTTGGTTGTGTAGCAATGATATTTTCAGATGGATTCACCACCGAATTGTCAACTGCATTTTCATTCACAGTTTCAACAGTATCTGATGGTTTAACAACTGGCATTTTTTTTTGGTTTGTTGGTGTAACAATAACATCTTTAGATGGGATGACAATTGGATTATCCACAGTATTTTCATTCACAGTTTCAGCAAAACCTTCAGGTTCAACAACTGGAATTGCAGTTTGGTTTGTTTCAGCCATTAGTAAAACATGGCTAATATGAGAATCTAAAAAACTGGTTTTTATGAATTGCAGGAATGGTATGGTGCAGGCTCTGTGAGGAGAGTAGATGTATTTGTACAGGTAACATATTGCCTCATAGCCCATTCGTGTTTATTTATTAATTTGTGATGATAATGGTTACTGAAAGGCAAAGATTTTGAAATTTGTTCTGTGAATGAAAAGTGGTTATTGATATGCACTGAAAGCTTGCAGATATAAACGTCTGTGTAAAGCACATATTGATTGTTTTTTTGATTTCTAGTATAATTCCTTTCAGAGGAATCCTTTTAGAGTTTTAAATGCATTACAATTTCCATGAATGATATGGTGATAATTATACAAAATATGCTCTTTTTCAATTTGTGTTAATTGATGATATTATCCCATTGAATAAGGGATATGATGTGATCATTTCTTTTTTAACACAGGAATTTAAAGATAGAAAAAGCGTTAACTATGTTGATTCTGGGGAAGTTGATTAAAAGACGGTTGATAAAATCATGGGATGATTACTATGAAAAGAATAATACATATAGTAAAAGACTATCAAATCTTAAAGATTTACGGACTATTTTTTGATGTTTTTATTTTGTGGCCGATATGTATTATTTAATTCAGTTACATGCTCTAATTTTACTGCTGTTTTATAAAAAAATTTATCCCCCACGAATAGTCAGACGTAGATAGTTAGTTTCTTCCCTAAAATAAAAGATTTTGAAATTTAAATCCTTTAGTTTAATTTGCACATTTGAAAATGGACTCAGAACTGAAATTTTCTGCAAATATATGAAGTCATGTGGCGTATTTTTCTTGATTTAGTTTTGTACTGAGAAGCGCTGAGAAGCTTTAGAGAGAAAATTTTAATTATGGAGCTGACATGTGTCCTTCATATTTGCTGTTTTAAGTAAGTACTATAGATTGCGTCTACACTGATGATCACGGTTCCGAGTACAATCACTAGGCCATTTTTATTGTTGCGCCGAACTTCACAACACAGTCGCTTGACTAAAGTTTCATTTTATTTAATCTTCACTAATAATAGAGTCAATATAATAAACTTTTCCTTCCGTGATTTTTCTTCAAATTCTCATAAAATATAATTGAGCGATGAGTTAAGTCTAGTTTCCTGAGACTTAAATAATTTGGGAAGGAGTGGCTGCTTTCGGGACTTGTGAAAAGTAAATTTTAATATAATAAACTAACGCAAGTTAACCTCATGAGTAGTTTTGGTATTAACTCAAAAACATAGTAAAAATTTTTAGTGACATATGTGTGAGATAAAAATGTATGATTAAGACAAATATAAAATTTCTACAACAAAATACCAAAAAATCAAAACCAAACTCAGTTAATATTTTCTTTATTAAGTATTTTGTCATGATGATTATCATTTCTGTATTATGCATTTTGTCATTACGATTATCATTTTCCTTATTTCTTATGTGTTTTTGTCTAACAAGTGACATTTACCGGTTATTGACTTGTTGTCTCACCTGATGAATAACATTGTCTTGTTTGTAATTGCACGACGTGTAGGGTCCAAAGTGGTCGACATCAATCACTTCAAGAAAAAGCCTGAATAATGTGAAGAACCTCACACACCTACTTTGCCATCACTTTCTTTTTTAAAGTTTTCTTTTTGGTATAATTCTCCCAACATATCTGAAATTCAAAGGAGAGCCAAACAAATCTTGCCTTATCCATCAATGGCAACAACAGAAAACAAAAATCTCAGTCCCAATTCTTTGCATGTGGTGATGTTTCCATGGTTAGCATTCGGGCACATGATCCCATTTCTCGAACTCTCCAAATTCATAGCTCAAAAGGGTCACAAAATCACATTTGTTTCCACTCCCAAAAACATTGCGCGCTTGCCAAAACTCCCGCCAAATCTCACTTCTTCCATAAACTTTTTGAGCCTTTCCCTCCCTAAAGTTGATGGCCTTCCGGGAGACGTCGAAGCCACTGTCGATCTCGGTAGCCACGACGTCTCCCTTCTTAAGAAAGCCTTTGACGGCCTCAAACCGGAGTTGACGAGTTTCCTCGAAAACTCGCTTCCAGAATGGATCGTCTACGATTTCTCCCATTACTGGTTGCCTCCCGCCGCAGATAAGTTGGGAATCGGAAAGGTGTTCTTTTCGATTCTCAGCGCTTCTTCGCTTGTGTTTTTCGGAGCGTTTGGCAAGCCCGACCCGAGAACGAAGCTGGAAGATTTCACAGTACCGCCGCCGTGGGTTCCTTTTGAGACTAAAGTCGCTTTTAAGCTGCACGAGAGTAAATGGATGCTCAGCTGCCATCATGAGGACGGGTCGGGCGTATCGGATATTCAACGGTCCGGGTCTTCGGCATCGGGTTCGGATCTAATTCTGGTGAGGCAATGTAACGAGTTAGAAGGAAAGTGGATCAAGCTACTTGAAGAGATAAACCACAAACCCGTGCTGCCGGTCGGGCTTCTGCCCCCGCGAATGGAAGAAAACGCTGTCGACTATGAGAATCCGAGTTGGTTTCCGATTAAAGAATGGCTTGACGGTCAAGAAAGTGGATCCGTTTTGTACGTTGCTTTTGGAAGCGAGGTAGCCATGAGTCAACCAGAATTGACGGAATTGGCTCTCGGGTTAGAGTTATCGGAAGTCCCATTTTTCTGGGCTATCAGAAAATCGACGGAGACGATCGAGCTGCCGGAGGGATTTGAGGAAAGAGTTAAAGGGAGAGGAATTGTTTGGAGAAGCTGGGCACCGCAGTTGAGTATACTGAGACATGATTCTGTGGGTGGGTTTTTGAGCCATTGTGGATGGAGTTCAGTGATCGAAGGATTAATGTTCGGTCATCCGATAATCATGCTTCCGTTCGTGATTGATACCGGATTGGTGGCTAGAGTTCTCGGAGAAAAAATGGTCGGAATTGAGATTCCGAGGGACGAGATGGATGGATCGTACACCAGGGAGTCGGTGGCGGAGTCGGTGAAGTTGGTGATGGTGAAAAATGAAGGGAAAATTTACCGGGAGAAATCGAAGGAGATAGGGGAAATATTCGGGAATAGGGAAATACAAGATGGTTACATTGATGGGTTGGTGGAATACTTGGAAAACAATGGGAGTTGTCAAATCTGAATGATAATCGTTCGTCATCGTGCATGTGTGATGAATCACGTTGTCAAATGTCATTGTCTACGTACTAAATAAATATCTCCGATCTTTTCGGAAAGAAATAATCATTCACTCGAGGAAAAAGAGGGAATTGTACCGCCATTTGTTTGTAAAAAGGAGTCTGTGTCATTTTATACATGTTTTAGTTTTTTTTTGTTTTTGGTTCAGTTTGTAAATAGCATCTTGTTACAAATGATCTTGTTGCTCCTCTAAAATATACTCTCTTACATATAAATAAATTTCAAAATTTAACTACAATTTTATTTTCTTTTTTTTTGTAAAAGAGTAATATATTTCGACTGTACGTCTATCATAATGTAATTAATTACTAGTGCAGTCATCTAGTCAATAAGAACTTGGAAGTTGGTACCCGGAGTCCACAAAAGTTTTAGTATAAAGGACAACTTGAAGTCGATACTGTATTTACTGTGTGGAGCAATCTATTCATATATAGATAGAGCACAACTCCATTTTACACAAATTGAACATAGGAATCGTAGAACAATTTGTATACTCTTCATTGACACAGGGATACTCAATTCATCTAATTACAAAATTTCCTGATGCCTATCCATCCAGTCATACCTTTGAATTTAAATTTGCTAATGTCATGCTAATGCTTACCTTCTTACAAGAATAGATTACGTTATTTTATAGGATTCCTACACAGATTTCAAACCATTAATTCAAGAGACACTTATTACGGATATTTAAGCCTTTAAGGTAGGTTTTGTTTTTTTTTTTTTCCCTTTACAAGTGTCTGAAAGACAAAACAACATTGTGTTGTGATTTGTTGACTCCTACTCAAAATAACGGTTAATTTAATTCTGTAAGGACTAGTTTTGCAATAGTAGCAATATATAAGCCATTGATTGGGCAATCCATTTCTGTAACATCTCAATCAAATTAACATGGCTAGAGAAGATCAAAGCTTACATGTGATCATGTTTCCATGGTTAGCCTTTGGTCACCTGATCCCATTTCTTGAACTCTCCAAATTCATAGCTCAAAAGGGTCACAAAGTCACATTTATCTCCACTCCCAAAAACATTGCCCGCTTACCAAAAATCCTTTCAACTCTGTCTTCTTCCATCATCTTTTTAAGCCTCTCACTCCCTAGAATTGAAGGCCTCCCCGAAAATATAGAGGCCACCGTTGACCTTGGAACTCATGACGCCTCTCTTCTTAAGAAAGCTTATGATGGGCTGGAGACAGAGTTGACTCTGTTTTTACAGAATTCTCTTCCTGATTGGATCCTCTACGACTTTGCTCCCTTTTGGTTGCCTCCAATTGCTACCAAACTCGGAATTTCCAAGTCCTTTTTTTCCATTTACCCAGCTTCTTCTCTGGCATTTTCGGGTCCTTCCAATATGGTAATCCACGGAACTGACCCGAGAACTAAAGCAGAGGATTTCACCGTACCACCGCCATGGATTCCGTTTGACAGTAAACTGGCGTTTAAGGTCCACGAGAGTAAGTGGATCTTCAACGCCGGTCACGTTGACCGGTCCGGCGTGTCGGATGCGCATCGGTATGCGCACTGCACGATGGGCGCGGATGTTATATTTGTCAGGCAATGCAATGAGTTTGAAGGGAGATGGATAAAATTGCTGGAAGATTTACAGAAAAAGCCGGTGATTCCGGCAGGAATAATGCCGCTGAGGTTGGAAGAAAACATCTTGTGCAACATCGACATAAAGGAATGGCTTGATAATCAAAGAAATGGTTCGGTTTTGTACGTGGCATTTGGGAGCGAGTTGAGAATTACTCAAAATCAATTGACGGAATTGGCACTCGGGTTGGAATTATCCGGTGTACCGTTTTTCTGGGTTTTAAGGAAATCGACAGAGTCGATGGAATTATTGCCGGATGGGTTTGAGGAAAGAGTCAAAGAAAGGGGAATTATTTGGAGAAGTTGGGCGCCACAGTTGAGGATATTGAGTCATGAATCTGTGGGTGGTTTTTTGACACATTGCGGATGGAGCTCAGTGATTGAAGGATTAATGTTTGGTCATCCGCTGATAATGTTGCCGTTTGTGATTGATACGGGACTGATTGCTAGGGTTCTCGGGGAGAAACTTGTGGGGATGGAGGTGCGAAGGAATGAGCGGGATGGATCATTCAACAGGAACTCGGTGGCGGAGACGGTGGAGCTGGTGATGGTGAAAAATGAGGGGAAAATATATAGAAAAAAATCAAAAGAAGTTGGGAAAATATTCGGTGATAGGGAATTGCAAGATAGTTACCTTCACAAGTTGGTTGACTACATGGAGAAAATTACCACAAGTAAGAAAAAATAAAAAATATTTATGAGACGGTTATCTAATATGAAAAAATAATGTGGTTGGGCGATTGCGTACCTGGCTATGTAACAACCTTGAATAACTAGAAACGAAAATGCTTTATGTACAACTGAGCTCAATGATATGCATTCAGTATTCTCTCCGTGGAAATGATTGATTTTACATTTTCATATTTAATACAAATTATACTAGAAATAAAAACTTAAATTGAACCATAATTTGAGGACATGAAAAATATAATTTTGCATAGCTTCATTTTGTTCGTGGATAGACACTTACACGCTTTGAATCGGCGATGGCAGCGAAATGAAGGTATGAAAAATGAAATATATATATATATATGGGAAATTCTATGATCCAATCATAAGTTTTTGACTGAACCATCCCGTTAAAATCTATTCAATAAAAGTGAGGTACACCATATATAATTAAGGATGCAAAACACTGTATTAAAACTAAAGTAATTATCATCGGGTTAATTATTAGATAAGCTACTGAAGTGAAAATAAAATTAATTCCAAAAGTTTGGAAACCAGTTTTATTGCCGAACTGTGAAGAAGTTATGGTTTTGGCCCTCCCAGGAATTCAAGGATAAGACCATCGAATTTATTATGTTCTCGGCAGGGGGGTGTTGCCGGAGAACAAGGCCGTCCTTGTTAAGGCTAAGTTGATTTTAAAGATTCCAGAAAGAAAATAAAGAAGGCTGGTTTTATTGATTTATGAATTGACTGGGCGAAGAAAATTCAATTCGGATAGAATTTAATTGAACTCTGTCATTTAAAAAACAACAATTACAGTTTGCAAATGATTGAGTCTGCATTTTGAGATTATGAAGATACCAAAATCTAGGTTGAATTTTTTGAATGGGGTAATGCCAAAAGTGGGCAGAATGTGGCAACAACGGTTGCTACAACTATGACTCTTGCATAGCGGGGCTACCTTGCAAAGTTTCAATTAGATTGCATTCTTCATTAGTAATACCTCCCTGTCTTACTGGGTTTTTGGTTTGAATAGCGAAACAGAAATAGAAGCCCTGCCACCCTCCCCATCCATCCATACGAATTCCCCCAACCCCTTTGCAAAGGAAAAGCTTTTCTCTTTTCTGTTTACAGAAAAAGGAAATGGCGTCTTTCGTTTTGCCAGCTCCAATGTCGTTGTCTTCGTCACTATCTTCATTATCATCGTCATCTACCTCTCATTTGCCCCTGTCTCCGGGTTCTTCTTGTTCTCTGGGTCGGAGAAGCGTTTCCCAGCCGTTTCATAGTTTAAACGTGAAATGTGAAATTGCTGAAGCAATGAATGGAAAACCTTGTGTTCCAATCGTTAATGATCAAATCCTTCCCGAATTCTTGCAAGCTCGGCACCTAGAAAATGCTGTCAAAAAAAGTGAAATCAAGCTGAAGATATTTTCGGGCACAACAAATACTGTTCTTTCTCAAGAAATTGCTTGGTACAAGGGCCTCAACCTGGGAAATATTAATATAAAGCGGTTTGCTGATGGTGAAATTTATATTCAAGAGAGTGTCAAAGATCTTGCTAGTAAGAAGATTAGTATCAATGATCGCGTCGTATTTTCGCCTGATGTTGGATTTGCTAGAGCTCGTGCTTTTGCCAAAAAGTGCTTTTGAAAGGAAAGGTTGTTGTTATGGTGGATGACATGATTGACACAGCAGGAACAACTGCAAAAGGTGCAGCCCTTCTGCATGAGGAGGGGTACAGGGAAGTTTATGCATGCAATTTTTAGCCCTCCAGCAGTTGAGAGGTTGTCAAGTGGTTTGTTTCAAGAAGTTATTGTCACTAATACAATTTCAGCAACGGAGAAAAATTATTTTCCCCAGTTAACAGTTCTTTCGGTAGGAAACCTCTTGAGTGAAACAATTTGGCGAGTTTATGATGATTGTTCAGTGAGTAGCATTTACCTGTGAAGCGAAGGGAGGTTCTTGAGATAGACATGCAAAAGTAAGGACATTTGAAATACCACCTCCTTTCTCTCTTTTTGCTGGGAAAATACCTTGTGTTTTTCTTAACTTCCTACTATAGGTGATCGACCCAAACCATATTTTCCCACACAAAACATGATCTCTCGCACATCACAACATTTTGGTGCACGATTTAGTATCAATTTCAATATGATTAATCCCTTGTTTATTTCTCGCAAGCCTATTACTATTCATGTCACCTATTCTAGAGAACAAAGGTATTGATGATGACGACAAATATATAGCCGGGCCAAGTGACTGCCTTCTGCCTTGTAAAACTGGGAGCTTCTAGACTATAGAGAAAATGCTCAGTAGGAAATTCTTTAGAGATGAATACATTTGTAGGATGTAGAACTTCCTCTTGTTCAATGGTTTTATGTTACATTTCGAAAAAAAATGGTTTTATGTTGAAAAAGAAAAGAAATAAAGAAAAACAGAAATAGAAAAAGAACAAGTATAGGAATATAGTCTTTGCTTCATGGAACTTAATCATCAATCTGTATCATGCCACTGATTGTTCTCTATGTTTTGAAAAATAGCATTCTTTGTTGATGCAACATTTCTTGTTATAAGAAAAAAAATAGGAATAATGTTGTAGATAAAATTTTATGGAGAACAATACTAAATAAGTTATGAAAATAATCTAGTATTTTTAGGCCTTGTTCTTTAATAATACACCGTATTTAATCCTACGGTGACAATGATTCTTTCTCATCCAACGGCTACAATTATCGACGGCTACAACTAACCACCGTTGGATTAAACGTCGGGCGTATTGTAAGGAAATATACCCTATTACACTTGATCATTCGTTTAGTCAATCAAAATTTTAAATTAAAAAATTAATTATTTTTATAAAAATTATCTTTGTTTTCCTTTTTTCATATGCACCACTATTACCTTTAATAAGCTCGCCGCCGCACTGCCGCACCATCACTCTCCTGTACTATTCACCACCTCCATTCAAAAATTTTTTTCATTGCTTTTTGAATTCAGATCTTCGAAACAGATTAACCAAATAATCCAAGAAAGAATCAAATTCAGTAATCCAACACCTAATTCTTCTCTTTCCGTATTTGTTGCAATGCTGAATATTAACGGCAAAGGAAAGCATCCGAAGATTTGTATTAGAATTTGGTTCTGAATTTGTATTAGAATTCTTGCTGGCCATTATCTGTGTAAGCTTGTTTTAACAGGATCAAAGCTTTCACTAGCGACTACGGCTGGAAGCTTGGAATAAAAGCTTTTTAATTGTTTTAGTTTCAATGCTTTCAAAGTATCAGTATTATATCACAAGTTGAAATGGATTGAGTGTTTGAAGATGGTTGATGGGGATGATGATGATCTCTGTGCTGATTATAATCATGCTCCTCAAGAAGTTATGCACCAAATCTCAAGTATTTTTGTACCGTGAGCAATGATTATGGATGTGGCCGCTTGTTAGAATTTGAAGATTCTTGAGTTGGGTTCTTTATGTGTAAAAAGATGATGAGTTTCTTAATTCAATTGAGCAAACCTTGAAGCATTTTCTCTGCACTTGTTTACATGGTCTTACTGTTATGAGGAATTAAAGAGGTTCAAAATCTCAAGCAACAGTCTTAGAGATCCGTGGCTAGGATTTATTAACAATCATAAGCTTGTCACGGATCATGATTTTGGTTGTTAGGCTAGCTTTAAATTCTTTGTCTTAAAAAAGAAGTCAATTTTGATCAAATAAGAACTTACAACTCTGAATTCCATGTCAATATAATAACTATTGAGATGGGCTTTTCACGGTCCCAAGCTGAAGAGCCTTTGAGACAAGTCGGTTCAAATTAATGAAATTAGGAAAATGGATTTTAATTTTATTGAGATAATTTAATTTTATGTAAGTAATTTTTAAAAAATTTACTACATGAATAATCCAATTAGCAGGGAATAATATTGTGAATGCGTTCCAATGTTTCTCACCCCATGTATCGTTATAGGTCATCATTTTTTATTGGTTAAATTTTAACTGAACGGTTCAGTTAAATTAGAGCGACTGGACTCTAGAATCTCCCATATATATATATATATATATATATATATATATATATATATATATTCAGCGCGCCAAAATAGGTAGAAATAATTTTATTACATACATCCTCCAAATTTTATTTTTTAGGAAAGTTGGAAGATCCGTCTTTTGTTTTCTTTCATTTTCTATTTCACCTTAAACATATACAAAGATAAGGCATGCATGATGCATATGATATTGCATATCCCCTCCCAGCGAATTAAAAGACTCTTGAAACTTTATACTGTAAAAACTTATTAATCCTTTTTAGAGAATCATTGCATAAGTAGATACATTGGACGCGCTTCGATGTATGGTATATATACTAACAAAATATAAATAACAAAGTGAATCGTTAATAATAAAAAATTACGAGTAACGTTATTGACCAGTATCTAATATCTAAAAATTAGTATTACTAAAATGTCCATTCTGATTTCAACAGAATCGACATGCAAATTGAATAATAAAACATAATCGAATTTCTGTATCATGAAAACAAGAAAAAGAACAGTTCCAAAAAAAAAAAAAAACACACATTGATGTCTGGATGATCAGACAATTTTCAGGGGAACCCGTATTATTGAAGAACTTGTTGATCGAATATGGAAATAATCGAAATCCTAATTAGGGTTTCTTATGTAGACGGCTAGGATTGTTACACTATTGTACTATAAATACCACAATGTATCATGTGAATAACACACACAATAATTCTTTCATGGTATTATCCTTCTTTCCTGGCCTGTCAATATTTTAGGATTTCCGCTGTTCGAAAACTTTTCTAACTCTCTCTTGCCGTCAGTTTTTTTTTTCTTTTCTTTTCGGCTGCTTCCGGCTGCTGCAAGTCTTTTTCGGCCACTGCAATTGAAACTCCATCTCAATCCTGCAATTCCGGCGGCTCCAATCCCATCTCAATCCTGGAACCGTCGTCAATTTTTTTTTTTTTACGGGCTTCGCTGTCAGCTTTTCTTTTCTTTCTCTCCCGTGCCGGCATCCCTTGTTCTTCTCCTGCCGAACCGCCGGAAGCCCCACCTCCCATAGCCACCACACAACTTCCCCTCTTCCGGCTGCTGCAATTCCCAAACAGTTCGAACCCGCCGGCTGCTCCAATTCCTTTTTCGGCCGCTTCAATTCGAACCCACCGGCTATTCTTCTTCCCCTGTGGGAACGCGCCGGCTGCTGCAGCCGTTTCGTTCTTCCGTCGCCGACGCTACTGCTACTGCTGCTTAGACTTTTCATCAGACCTCGATTAGACTTTTCCGGTCTGCTGCTGCTTGAATTCCTGATCGTTCTTCCGGCCGCCGCTGCTCTTGCCATTTGCTGTTTCCGCCGGTTGTTGCTGCCTTCTCTCTCCGCTGGTTGCTGCTCCTCTCTTGCCGTTTGCTGTTTCCGAAGAGGCCGCTTGCCGTTTGCTGCTCACTGTTGCTGATTTGTTTTTCTCCGGTTTCTTTCAAAAAAAAAAAAACCAAAAAAAAAACCCTAAACCCCCTTCGGTTCAGTATTCTTCGTCGATCTTGCCTCTCTGCTGCCATGACGAACTCTGCCGTGACCTCTACTGTCTCACAGCAAACTGATCTTCACTCAACCGAGACCATGACAATCAATTCTTTTCCGACACCACCTTCTCATCCGGCTATTGGTCTCTCTAACATCAAGAATTATGTGAATCCCGTTCTGGATTTCACAAACTATATGCTTTGGAAAGAGCTTTTTCTTCCTGTCTTTCGCGGACATGCCGTGATTGGTCATATCGATGGCTTCGATCCTTGTCCTCCATCAACTCTCGCTACCTCTGATGACACTTCCTCATCCACTCCAAATCCCGCTTTTCGAACTTGGATCCAAATCGACTCCATTGTCCTCTCCTAGATCCAAGCCACAGTTTCCACTGAAATTTTGCAAGCCATAGTTCGGCCCAATTCTTCCCTTACCGCCCGCGATGCGTGGCTCACCATTGAGAAACTCTTCCACGATCAGCTTGGTTCCCGCCTTCTCCAATTAAAATTGGAGTTTCATAGCTTAAAGAAAGGGGACTTAACATTAATGAGTATGTTACCAAGCTTAAGATGTTGGCCGATTCATTAACATCCGTCGGTTTTCCCATCTCCGAAGATGACTTGGTGGTTCAAATTCTGGCTGGTCTTCCTTCGACCTACCAGTCTGTCTTTACTACTATTAGCCATCGCGTACCTTTACCAACTTCGTTGAAGCTCGATCAATGATCTTCCTGCATGAAGTGTAACTTCAATACACTACTCCTTCTTCCCTCTCCATGACTACCAAAGCTCTGGTCGCGGCATCTTCCACTGATCTTCCACAGCAGCAGTCCAATACCCCTTCTCACCAGCAGCCGTCTTCCAATCGTGGCCGTGGTAGGGGTCGCGGTTTTCAAAATAATCGGGGGCGTGGCCGTGGGCGTGGACGCAACCAATTTTTTGGCCTGTATCCTTCCTCGTTTTCTGCACCTTTTAATTCTTATCCAGCTCCTATGTTTACTCCCAGGCAACATGCTCCCTCTCTTCTTGGTCCGGCTCCCTCTTTTCAGTCCAATCCCGCTGCTGTTTGTTGCCAATTGTTCAATCAATTCAATCACTCTGCTCGAGAT